AAAACAAGGCATAAAGGGGTACTTTTTCCATTCCTATACAAGTGAGATTTTCCTGGAAGTATCAAGAAATAAAGCCATTATACTTTGCACAGGAATTAATGACTTTGACACTCACAGAGGATTCTTAGCAACAAAGTCAACACTGCAAGTGCCTCCAGCAGACGCAGACTCCATGCACAGGGAGAACTTCCTGGAGACTCTAAGTTAGGGCGACTCTCAGTCCTTAATAACCAAAGAGGGAGGAAGGGAGAGAGCGACGCTCCTAAAAGAAGTTGGTACCTGCAGCCTACGGGTCAGACTGGTCCCTCTATCAGGTTGTGATCTGGCCCATAAGCTAAGAATGTCTTTACATTTTAAATGTAAAAAAAAAAAAATCAAAATAAGAATATTTTATAACATTTGGAAACTGGGAGAGTCACATTTCAGTCTAAATACGTAAAGTCTAATGGTACAGCCTCGCCCGTCTATTCATCCGCATCTGCTCTTTCCCTTCATCAGCAGAGCTGAGTACTGGAAACAGACTACCTAGCCTGGAAGCCTAAAAAAGTAAAACATCTGGCTTGGGGGCTGCCACGTTATTCCACACAGGACCAGGTTTTTTTAAAGTTACTCTTGCCTTAAAATAAATTGTTCCCAAGGAGTCAAATCTGATTGATATAGACTTACATTAAAAATTAAGTTTTGTAGTGTTGTGTTTGTTTTGTTTTAGGGAAAAAGTATAATTTGAAGAGGGTATTGATTACTCTTTCTGAAAACACTTGGACAAGACTCGGACTCATGGTTCCTATCTACCAATGGGCAGTGGGTCCTCTGCATTCGCACAGCCCACAGGCATATGCGGTTAGTGGAAACGTTTTTTAATTCATTTCACAAGTATTTGTTGAGACTTGTCCTGGGCAATGGGAATATGGCTGGAAAAATGACCAAGTCCCTGTCCTCACAGAGGTTACATGCTTATAGTGGGAGACAAACCTCAAATGTCAACAGGGGGACCAGATGGTGAGATTGTGATGTGCAATAACGAGGGCGAGTGTGGTCTGGGTGGGATGGGGCAGCTGATGGAGTAGGAAGGGCTCTCTGGGGCAATGACCTGGAATTAAGCCGAGGGATGCAAGAACTCACTGCACACAAAGCCCAGGGGAGGGTGCCGGGCAATGGGACGGTGAAGACAGAGCCAGCCCCCAGGACAGAGTGAGGCTGAGCAGCAGAGTGTGCAGACGGGGAGAGAAGAGAGATTCAGTATCTTTGCATCACAGTGAGCCCTGGGAATTTCATTCTAAACACAACGGAAAACAACTGATACATCTTAAATAGGCCGGGGTGGGCCTTGGTCTTCTGGTGCTGAAGCACGTACCTGGGGCTACAGCCGAGGTGGAGGCAAGAAGTGACAGAACTGGGCAGGGCCAGGGTGAGAGGTGAGAACATGAGGTATGTTTTGTAGGGAAAGCAATAAATATTGGATGTAAAGTATAAAAATTAAAATAAGTTAGAAGGAATCAATGTTTTAAAATTTATTCCAAGCATCTTCATCCCAAGCCCCAAACCAGTGCAATAAAAGCCAGTGCTGGAGTGGGAGTCCCGCCCTGGCAGCACGGGTGCCACAACCTGGACCCGTTGAGGGTCTGCAGGCCTGGAGGGAAAGGGAGCCGAGCAGATGCTGTGGGGAAAGCCTGCTGCGGGGGCGCACAGGCACCATGCTAGCACACACACACACACACTCACACACACTCACACACACTCACATACACACACTCACACACACTCACACACACACACACACTCACACACACACTCACACACACACTCACACACACACACTCACACACACACACTCATACACTCACATACACACACTCACACACACTCACACACACACACATGCACACAGACAAACACAGATCATAAAAGGTCACCGGGTAATAAAGTAAGAACAAGCAAGCCCAAGCATGTGGCTTGAGGAGATTCCAGGTAAGCAAAGCAGCAGCAGATGTGTGTGTTGTGGCTTCGCCGAGGCGAGAGCCAGGATCTGGGCACGGGCACAGGCTTGGGGGGAGGGATCGCTGGACACCAGCTAATGTTCTATCATTACACGAAACACAAGATCTCAGATAACCTTCTGAGTTCAGTTTGCAAGCCCCAGCTGGGAATGAAGGCAGGCAGTCTGGCGCAGGCACATCCCTCACTGGGCACCCGGCTGGCCCTGGGCACTCAGGCCTGGGTGCTGGGGGAGGTGAGAGTTCCCAGGCTGGGACCTGATGTGAGTTCTGCCACTTCTCTGAAGCACAGGAGCGATTGAGGCTGGAAAATAAAGCCATTTTTTATGTAGCTTTGATTTGAGATTTCTTGAGATAGTTTTGCATGTAAAGGGAAGCCCGGGGTTTTCCTTTTGTGAGAGGGGGTGTGGGCATAAGAAGGTCCTGAAGCCCTGACCTCACAGCTTTCTCCTCAGGTAGGTGAGGGAGCAAGGGGAAGGCTGTGTCACTTCCTGAGCGCAGACACAGGGGCATGTCCAGTGCCTACATCCAGTTGTGCTTTTATTGAGAAGGACTCCCCGTCCCCAGGTGATCAGAAGGAGCTGCGGCCCGGAGTGGGCGTCGGGGACAGACACAGCCTGGGCACACCGTCAGGAGAGCCTGGTTCAGGTGAGCGTCTGCATGGAGACGCATATCCCTGCCGCACTCCGCACTGAGCACAACTTCGGGGTGGAAGGAGCTGAGCAAGTTAGACGGAAAGTGTTTAAATATAATATTTAATTATTTCTTTCTAAATTTCTTAAACTCCTTCTCTCCACATGGATGCCCAGGCAGTGAGAGCTCTCACCAGGCCTTCACACCACTCATGCTTCACCTGGGAGCTGAAGGGCAGGGAAATGTAAGAAGTTTTTATCGTTTTCCAAGATGATTTGTTTTAAAGTTCTAGATGGGAAAATCATGCCAAATCGCTATTTTATCCACATCTTTTCCTCCCCATCCTCATCACAGCATGACAAGCAAACCTCTTTTATTGCAGCAGCCTATTTTTGGTGTAAAGATATGCTTAATGTTCTGTTTGTAGTCAAAAGGCTTAAAATGCTATTCTTCTTCTCTTCATTTAGAAGCAATCAGCCTCCCTCTCACTGAGTTCTTACTGTAGGCAACCAATCTCCAGAATTACAGCACATCAGCTGGGTGAGCAAAATGCATGCACTGTTTCATTTTTCGTAAGCAAAGTAGTTTTTGCCAGTTAAATCCCCAGGTATTTCACTTTCAAAGACTCAGATATAAAATTAGCAAATGAAACATCTGTTCCTGGCTATTATTTTATAATCACATTAATTGGCAGATGTCTTTAGGTACCAGAGAAAAGCCTACCAGCCATTACCTGCATTTCCATGGGGCGAGCTTGGGACCACTGATGTTTTTCACACGCCTCAAGAGCATTGGCAGGAGACAGCGTTACCCTGGGCTCCAGCATAGCCAGCTCTCCCCGTGCAAACCTCCTGGCAGGAGGGCCTGCTGCCCACCGGACCAGGCCACAGGATGCCCTGTGCTACACCCCACTGTGGAGAACCTTACCCTCACTGCTGCCAGGCCTGGGTTTTCAATTATCATGTAGTTTGCACAAAAGCACGGTGCCAATTCAATTACTGTCTGATTAATGGAGTGCTGCGGGTTTACTTCAGGTGTCTAGCCATTTATTAATTAGCATACCGGGTCCTATACTCTACTTCTTTTGGTCCTGATATGCTTTGAAAAGTTTCCAGTGCAATGAGAAAACTATAATATGCTTGAAATAGTTATTTGAGAAAACACACCCAGACTTTCTGGAAGTCCTGGGGGTCGTTTAAGCACATCCAGACTGGTTATAAGGCAGCTAAAGTCCCTTTGAAAGCACTCCCTTCCCTGCCGGGGGTGGTGCTGGGTCCACGTGGGTGCCGCCAGGCTCTTGCCGGGTGTGGGGAAGAGGCTCCTCAGAGAAGACCGCCCCCCTCCCATCCTCCGTCTGGACACATCACTGAGGGATCTGCCTCCGGGTCTCTCCCCCAGTTTGCTGTGAAGTGTAAACTCGATTCTGGACAGAATCTAATGGAGCCTGTAAAAGCATCTAGGTGAGTTCTGTCAGCGCTCAATAAAAAGAACAAACTATTAGACTTGGTGAACAACATTGCATTTCTTTAGCCTTTTTTTTTTTTTTTTTTTTTTTTTGGTTGGAAGAATGTCATTGAGACTGAATGACTCTTAGTGGGAAAATGAAGACCCTCCTCTCGGTAGCTGGTGTGTTTGCAGCTTTCAGGGATGGCCACTTTATGTCCAGTGCGCTAGGAAAAATACAGACTCCAGGACTCATTTTCACAAACATCATCTATAAATTCAAGATGACGGAGATAACAGAGACCCACTTGCTGGCGATAGAGGATTCCTGAGGGGAGGAAGGAGGTGAGACTGAGGCGGGAGGAGCCAGGGGGCATGCGCATACCTCCAGCATCAAGATCCCCTCACAGTGTCATTGCACAGTCATTATGAGCAGTAATGTAAATGGGTATGTAACATACTAAGTAATGTATGCATGTCTACACACATGCCATGAATGTACAATGTCTAATGCATTAAATATGAACAATCCTTTAAGAATCTGGGTCTTATGTCAACAGGGAAGAACCGGGAGTCGGAGCAGGAAGGGCAGCGGCCAGTGGCAGGTGGCTGCAGTTCAGCAGTGATGTGAGGGCACAGGTGGGCCTGCTGCCTGGGAAGTGGTCTGCCACGTGAGAGACAGCACACTCAGATGCTGACCAGCAGCTGCGTCACCATCCAGTCACCTCAACAACAATCCGGGAGCAAGGCCTGCGGCCCGGAATCCTGTGTAGGCATAAGGGGATGTCTGCCAGAGTGTCCTTCCTGGTAGGGATAATGCTACCTTACATGCATTCAGTGAGACACACGTATTTCATGGTAACAATTTCCCACCCCCCATAGATGTTATTAACATAAATCTTCAATTAGTTTTTAAAATTAATAAGATATTCAACACCAATAGTCAATGGATAGAAGTTCTGACTTCATCCCACGCCAGGCTAGAGTGGCTGCGGCACCATTATCTGCCCATGGGCCCCTCTCTGCTGGCAGCTGCGCGGTGCTGCCGTGGCTGGGTCCGCACGGGGCTGCCGTGGCTGGGTCTGCACGGAGCGCTGCGGTGGCTGGGTCTGCACGGAGCGCTGCGGTGGCTGGGTCTGCACGGGGCTGCCGTGGCTGGGTCTGCACGGAGCGCTGCGGTGGCTGGGTCTGCACGGGGCTGCCGTGGCTGGGTCTGCACGGGGCTGCCGTGGCTGGGTCTGCACAGGGCTGCGGTGGCTGGGTCTGCACGGAGCGCTGCGGTGGCTGGGTCTGCACGGAGCGCTGCGGTGGCTGGGTCTGCACGGAGCGCTGCGGTGGCTGGGGCTGCACGGGGCTGCTGTGGCTGGGTCTGCACGGAGCGCTGCTGTGGCTGGAGCTGCACGGGGCTGCCGTGGCTGGGGCTGCACGGGGCTGCCGTGGCTGGGGCTGCACGGGGCTGCCGTGGCTGGGGCTGCACGGGGCTGCTGTGGCTGGGTCTGCACGGAGCGCTGATGGAGAAGACCTCATGGATGACTTTTCCAGGAGTGCTGTGCCTCAGAAATATTTCCAGGACACTAACAGGTTACCTGGCCTCTGGCCCCCCAAACAATACTATTCACTCATTCCTGCTTCCAAACACGTCCCGATGCTGCCGTCCCCCAGCGCGATGTGTCATCACTCTTTGTCCCTCCTCCGTGAGAGGACAGCAGCATCCTGAGAATTCAGCCGTTAGCTTTCAGAAAGCCGTTTACGTCAGAAGGTATGGAAGGACAAGTAGAAACATGAATATGAATTTCTATCTTCCCGCAAGCATCTTCAAACTATGGCCCGCGGGCCACATGCGGCCCGCAGAGGAGTCTGATCCGGCCCGCCAGGTTTTTTGGGGCAGTGAGCGCAGCCGAGGTGTTACAGTAGGAATTAGTAGTTCATATAGTCCGGCCCTCCAGCTCTCTGAGGGACCGTGATCTGGCCCCCACTTTAAAAAGTTTGAGGACGCCTGGTAGAGTATGTTGCTTATGTTAAATAAATCCTTCCTTCCCCAGAATGCTTACTGACTACAAGCAGAGGAATAAACGTTCTAGAAACTGCCTACTTTTCCTGCTAAAACATCAGAATGCACTAGCCAAGTTTGGAGTCCTCTGCATCTATGATATGCTACGTTGGAGAAAGAAAAAGAAAATGTGTATGTTCTAAGAAACACAGTAGGAATGCCCGATGTAAATTTACGGGAAAGATGAGAGGATTAGGCCCATGATTTTGAATAATTCCCGCTTCCTGGCAGGTGTTGCTGTTGTTGGTTCTCCGGCTTCACACCCATCACTAGCTGTCCCTCTGCGATGGTGTGTGGCTTATTCCCACTCAGTCCCCGGAGGATGATGACAAAACATTTGCTACTAGGCAGCGAAGTGAAAGCAAGTCCACATGCTCAGCCCGGTGAGTGTGAAGGTCGCAGTTAACGGAATCAAACCCTCGGTGGCTCCAGGGCAGGGCGCCCTCGTGGCTTCAGCGCCGGGGAGCCGGGGGCGCAGTGGCACAAGCTGGGAAATAAGACAACAGAGCCTTTGCGGATGAGATGAGAGTATAATGGAGCAACACGGGATAGCAAGTCAGAGTCAGTCGGTACTCCTCAGAAGACGCCGTGCTGATTCCGGCCTCCGTGCTGTGAGTTACTGCAGGAACATTCCCACAGCTGAAACGGAGCACATTAGGATCGCGGAATATCATGACCAATTTTTCAAGTCCAGTGCACAAGCCCCGGATATCTTCCAAGGTGAACTTTAAGGTTGTAAACCATGAGAAAAATGCATCCCATATGCTTCACAGCTAATTGTGAACAAACATGTGCCTCTCATGCCACAAAATACACATTTCTCTCACTCCCGGATTTTCAAAAAGAGAGAGTTATTCTGAGAAAGTTGGAAAGTATTGAAAAATGACTTAAAGATGTTTGTAAGTTATGAAACAAACTTTGTGATTTGGAAAACATTTGCCTGCTATTTAACCCATTGTTGTTACAGAGAGATTCCATTTTTAAAACATGTTGTTCTAATAAATGAAAGCATGATTTATGCAAACAAATAAGCAACTAGGTTAAAATAATGTGTCCAGAACCATAAGGAAAATATTGAGAATTTTAATAATGTACAGGAAATAATCTAAGCAGTAAATAAATTTTACTTTTAAAGATTGTCTTTGTTCCAAATTTATAAATATTTTGAAAAAATTATTTTAAAGCAGAATGTTGAACTCATTCAACTTTTGTCAACACTTTACTAAACTCAATTAACTTTTTCTAAAATAATATTTTACAACATTTTGATACAGATTTTCACAGCATTCATAATCATCTTGTTAACATCACTTTGGAAACAAATTTAAGTCAGTTATGTCACAAATAATACATATCTGCTCAAGAGCTAAGTAGGTTGCTTATGTTATGATGTGTTTTTTAAAACTTGTTTGATTCGAAGTCACTAATATACTTATACTTAGACAAATGATCTAACAAATTTAAAGTATAATTAGATTAACCACATGTCCCATTCTCCATAATGTAGAAAATATAAACTTTCTGTTCCTTTTCTGTTTTGAATCATTTTTAGGAATTTTAACTTAAATATTTTTGTAGGTTATTTTTTAAATGTTTTATTAGGTTAACTAAAAACAATATTTAAAAGGCTCTTAGAATTCCTGTCAAAGTTGCCTCACGTTCAGGACAAACTGAAGACACATCTCCCTTTGCTCCTAGCTTCAGCCCAGAGCTGTTTGTGGTTCAGACATAAAACCTCAGAGATGGAAACATGAAGACAACCTTAACTACAGTGCTGCAAATGCAATGCTGTAATTTTACATGTTAATCTATCAATGCACAGCATGTGCAAACATATGCTTATGGACAGGGAGACAAGAATGTACAAATGTGGAGATAAGATTCTTGTATCTCATGTGATGCTCCATCATTTCTATCAATCTATGAACGTGTTTTTTTGGGTTGTGATTTCATTTGGAGCTGACAAGATGCAGCCTGTGCTTATTTGCAAAGGCCTCGTCACTAACGTCCTCCGAGCTGGAGCCTCCAGGCAGGAGCTGCCGGGCTGCCCGGAAGCGGGGTGGCTGCGCTGGCTGGGACTGTTGCAGCAGCAGGCGGGAAAAGAACGCTGTGAGGTGGGAACGGAACTTGGCGGGCTGTTGGGAAGGCAGCTCAGGTATGCATTTAATGTTGTGAGCACATCTGGTTTGCCACATTTCTAAATGTGGCCCTTAGGGTTGAGCAGAAAATTTGTGGCAAAAGGAAGATAAAATGCTGCTCTAACAGTCTTCTTCTGACCCACCGCAAGAGCCCAGCTCATTTGCTAACCATTACGAAACTGAAACAAAACTCAGGGACAAACAAGACCATTTATTTTCTGCAGAAGCCCCCTCTGCGAAAGGCATTTTTCTGTTGATGGCATGGTCCCCATTGCGTGTTTTCAGCCAAAGATGAAAGATCTGAGGTGTGTTTGCTTCTTTTCTTGTTTTACTCAAGTTACAACAAACTTTTGCAAAATACTTAGGTGAAGTATGCTACAGAATTAGCAGATGGCTTCAATTTTCATTTGGGAGACTAAGGCATATCCCAATTTTTCTTACTACTGTGATGGCTTAATTTGGGGAAAGTTTAAAATTATAATTGTAATATTGATAGTTGCATGAAGAATAAAAATTATATTATTAAAAGTGAGTATTAGGGTTTTTATGAAAGAGAATTTTAGATACTATATGTTAATGATACATTTAAAAATTTTATTTCTAGGAGACAGATCCTTCAATTTTAGAAGTGTAAATGAATATGCTTTCCCCTTAGAAATTATAATAAAAAAACAGAAGTTTCTAAAGTATATTTTTATTTCCCTGGAAAATATCTGGGATCTTTAAAGTTTACTATTTTTTTATTATTTACCCAAATTAATAAAGCTTTTTCTGATTATATAAATAATTAAGATATATCATAAACAATTTATACCAGTGCATATAGCTTAAGAAATAATAGAATTCCATCATTGAGACATATTCACCACACTAACATGCTTCTATCTAACCCATTTGTATTGATATGTACATTCCATATACCATATTATGAAAATAGTATCATAACATTCACATACTGTAAGCTTTCTTTTTCCACTTAATACAGGAAAAATTATGTGTAGGTGTTTGTACACATACACATACCTCCTTGTTAACACATATAGATTCATATTCTCAATTTTATTTTCAGAATAGAAAATTATTTTAAGGAGGTATAGTCTCTGAACAGTCTTCTGTTGGTTATATAGGTTGTTCCAATGTTTTGTTATTATGAAACACATTGGGCTTTATTTAATTCAAATAGTATTTATTATTCATTTCTATTTTTACACTTTCTTTTCCCATTATTTCTAATATATTATTTGACTTTGCTTATTAATTTGCATGAATTTTTCATTATAATAATACTTTATCATATATTTGTCAGTTTTCTTCCATTTTTATGATGGTATCACTTTCAGCCACAGAAAAATTTTAGTGTGTTCAAATATATCTGTTTTTTTTATTATAATTTCTAAGGGGAAAGCATATTCATTTACACTTCTAAAATTGAAGTATTTTTACACTTTTCGAAATAAATTTTACTCCATTTAGATGTCACCATGTTATAACTAGTGGGTCATTAACTCTAATACCTGTTTCATAATTAATTAGTGGCCTGGTACACGGATTCTTGCACATTGAAAGGAAAATAATTAGAAGGTGGCCTGTGGGTGGAACTGGGTGAGATGGGCCAGAGTTGCCCTGGAGCTGACTTCCAGGGGTCCCTCCCCAGACATCTACACTTGGGACAGTGCTGGGACTCAATGGGCCTCTGCGGAGTGGGAGTGAGCTGGGTCCTTCCGGCAGGTAGGGCCCCTTGGCCTGGCCTGTGGGGATCAGACTGAAACTGGCTCTCAGACATCCCCCGAGGGGTCCCAGACTGTGAGAGGGTGGTTCAGGGTGTGTCACCTGAGAACCTCAGCTGCCAAGTCACCTCAGCTCAGCAGCTCCTGCATTGAGTGTATGCCCCCTGGTGGTCAGTGTGCATCACAGTTACAGTCAGATGGTCAGATGGTCGCTTAGGCATATATATATTATATATATATAGTTCAGTGATATTTTGTGTCTTACAGAATAGTGAAACTCACACCTAAAATTTTAGCATACATTAGAATATAAGAATGGGAAATGTTTGTACAAAATGATTATTATAAAAGATAACCATTCCCTGACCTGTGTGACTTAGTGGTTAGAGCATTGGCCTGTGCACTAAAGGGTCAGGGTTGTGATGCCCCACCAAGGGTATGCACCTGGGTTGAAGGTTTGATCCCTGGCCCCTGTCGGGCACATGCAAGAGGCAACCAATCCACGTGTCTCTCTCACATTGATGTTTCGCTCTCCCTCTTACCTTCCACCTTCCCTTCAACTCTCTAAAAATAAACCAATGGACAAGATATCCTTGGGTGATGGTTAACAAA